TAAATTAATACATAAACAGCTAATGTTTTATTCTTAATTAAGATTATTAATCACAAGCGATAATTTATTAAAAAAATAACTGAAAAGAATTAATTTGGGTGTGTGTCTCTCTTATGACCTCAGAGCCGTTCACCCACTGTCTCGAGATTTGAACAGTAGGTGAACGGTGTAATTTTTAGCTCCCAATTCGAAAATTTCACTTTAATCGTTCCAGAGAGACGCTTGAAAATGGAATTTTTTCATAGGCTTAGAAATCGCCGTTGATAAAAATTGAATTGCATACGATTCTTTTTTTAAAAAAATTGTATCAGTTATGTTTGCTAGCTTATAGCTCTCAGGAATTTATTGCACACGTTCTATAAGATTTAATTATTTTTTATTCATCATGCTAGTGATTAACATGAACGCGGTATTAAAGGCAGACTATGTAACTAAATTAGTATTCCTAAAGCTATCCACGCGGTAATTTTATTTATGGTTAAGTTTTTAAAACATGTTTCTATAAAATCAACGGTAATTGAAATAAAAAAATATGTACTGGAAAACAAAATTAAGGGAGTAATAGTACTAGTTCCTTTAGGAGAAACGTAAAAAAAAAAAAAAAAAAAAAAAAAAAAAAAAAAAAAAAAAAAAAAAAAAAAAAAAAAAANAAAAAAAAAAAAAAAAAAAATCGCTCTATAATTATTGGTGCCAATGATTCTTGTATAATTTTGAAATAGAAAATACTTGAAAAAACAAAAATAAATAAATATGCTACGTTCTTAGGGGCACAATTAATGAAGATATGGTGCTAATTAGTTTAGGAAAAAAGTAAAAAAAATGCCAGACCAGTTCCGATGCCGAAGATGCTTAATTAGTTTTGTTAATTAGTAGTAATTTTTGATTTTATAACCGTTGTTGAACAGCCAACCTAATTTTCAGTTTACGTCTACCAATGTTCAACTACAAAATCTTTAAATTTAGAACCCAAACTAGAAGACAAGGGAACTCCTGGAGTAGGTATTGGGATAAATTTTCCCTTATGGAGGACTTTTTAGATGGAATTAACCTACATTTGCGTTACATAGAGTGGAAATCCAGGAAAACCTTCCACGTTTAACCTGACGACAAGGGGACTCTAATCCATGATCCATCTACCAATGAGGAAATTTTAAGCCAGTGCAGATCGATGCAGAAATAAATGAAATAAAAAAAATAAACTATACTACTAAAAACCTAATTAATTGAGAAATGATACTAATTCATTCATGTAAAGTGGTAAAAACCGCTAAACTATTACTGATGCCACTGATTATTAATTAATTCTGGAAATAGGCACTAGAATTATAAAAAATAAGTTATTGTACTGAAAACCAAATTAATGGAGAAATGTTACTTATAATTTGTTTAGGAGAAAAGTACAGAAATCATCCTACCATTTTTGACGCCATTGATGCTCAAATAATTTTGGTAGTAATTGCTAATTAAAATTAAAAAATAAGTAAGCTACGCATTAAAAGGCAAAATTGATAGAGAAATGATTTTGTGCATGATTTCATAGTGTCGTTTAGTACTGATTTATTGATTATTTTTTCTTATTCAATCCCCCTGGACGAAAAACGGGTATTCAGTTAGTAGTAAATAAAAATCAGATAGACTAGATGGAATGTTACATTCTGTCTACACATGCCCACACAATTATATGATTCAACGATAACTGTCCTTTTCAAGGTAATGAAACTCATTTCCCACGCTTTCATTCCGACATCTTTACTTTTTGAAATAAATCTTACAAAAACAAAACTGCTACGAAAGACTGCAAAGCGGTAATTGAAATCAAGTAGATAAACAAACTTTCACAAAATAAGATGACAAACTTTTATAATACGCATTTTCGTAACATAATATGTACTTTTTTTAAAGACGTTTGAAACTTCTGTTTTTTTTATAATCTGTTAAGATACTTATATAACTATTGGCATTTGCAGCGCATGCAAAATATCATAGTTTAGTCTCATGAATATAAGTTTTACTAACTTAAAAGGTTAATAGGACATAAACTATAAAACCGATATACTTTAAAGTATCTGTTTCAGCATAAAAAAATCGCACAGAGCAACACGTTTTATACAAGCACAATTATAAAATAGGACACATTTTTATTGCAATAAAACATAGAGTATCAAATGCAACAACAATCAATCCAAAAAAGAAAGAAAAAAACGTCATGACGTTTTTTTTTTCTTCCCCTTTTGATCAGTTCAGTTCTTTTTATCAGTTCAACCGCAGTTGAACTGATTAAAAGATTTCACCTCTGAGCCTGACTATTAACTCCAGTTTAAATTTTTTTATAATTATAAATACAGGACTTATATAGTGGCAAGTCACACTATTTTGAAATGTTGTATTTCAGCACCTAAGTGTTTCTTAATATTGTTTTTAATTAGGTCGTGCTTTAAAAGTTTCGGAATTTTCCATAGATAACATATGAAAATTGAATTGAATGCATGTTCGTATAGGATCCATATGGAGCTAAGGCCAAGGTAAAATTGGCCTTAGCTCCATATGGGTACTAAGGCCAAGGTAAAATTGATACTAGGGTATATAATATAGAAGACAACTAGAGCAACAGTTAACTGATCGGATGGCGAACTGTGGGCTGTACGGCATGATTTATATGCAAAATATTCCTCATAAATCAAAATTTTTCTTAAATAACTGGAAATGATTTATGAAACTATTTATGCAGTATCAAATAATTACTTTTAGTTAATTATTAAAAGCTGTTATCAATACATATAAGTAAACAAAACAACTGATCATTAATGATTAAGTAATCGGAAAAAAAGATAAATTACACTTAAGATAAGATTTTTAAGAAGCAAGTTCATATCCATTATAAAATGATGGATTGTTTTCTTATGTTTACGAACATGAATGTGTTTTTAAAAAACTTATTATAAACATTATGCAAAAGATCTATGACACGTTTATACTTTCAGTTGCATAAAAATTATAATAAATAAAAACAAGAACTTGCTAATGGGAGGATTTTTATTGTTACATACATTTACAGATTAGCTCAGTAATAAGCTATAAATAGGTCATAATGAAAATTTTAATTAGAATGTATAATCAGCCACTACGATTAAAAATGCTGATTATTTTTCATTCTTTCGAATGGCTTTACGCTAAAACAGCAGTAAAACGATCCATCATTTTATAATTAATATTACCCTGTTTCGAAAGGAATCTGTAGTGTCATATTTCTTTTCTGATTATTTTAATCAGTAATAGTCAGTTGTTTTGGTTACTACTAAAAGCACAAGAACGTCATGAAATCGTTTTAAATAATTTGATAACTGAACAGTGAAAATTTTTTTAAAAAAAAGTAACTTTTTTAAAATGAAAAAAAAAAGTTCTTAAAGTTCTTTAGAGACAGTTGTACAATGAAGCGAAAATCTTTTTTCCTCATAATTAAAATAAGTAATTTTCCCTTGAGATTCTATTTTTTTAAAAAAAAAATCAAGAACAAAATTTTTCTAAGTATTAATACCACTTTTAATTTTATTTAAAAAAAAAAAAAAAAAACTATTTCTTGAAGCGTATGAGCGCTGATATTTAAAGATAAAATAAAAAAAGCTTTCTGAAATGTGTGGATTATCTTCAAAGCTGTATTGGTTCGAGGAAAGAAAGAAAAAAAAGTCAATACCACAACGAAGTACTAAAAGATTTTCATTCTAATGCTGGAGCATATAAAAAAAGCAAAGCGCCCCCCCCCAAAGCGCTTGAACGTAAAGCTTAACGTACAGCGTCCATCGGGAGTAGTAAATTTAATCTGTGGGAAGATTAGTTTATCGTTTTCTTCTTAATGATTTCAATTGAGTACTTGCAATTTGTTAACAAGTGAAGTGATTATGTCTTTAAATCAGATTTCATTGGATACCAGTATGCGACGTTACGCAAGTGTGTCTGAAAAGGTTCTGGGTTCGAATCCCGGGCAAGGCATGGATGTTATTTTATTCTCTGTACTATCCGTCTTTACTGTGGGACAACGTTAGCCCATCTAATATGGTGCCCCTGAAAGAGCTGCCAACAAATCTGCCCTTCAGATACCTGTATGACGAAAGGTCATTCTTCAGGAGAGCATTAGATAAAAAAAAAAAAAAAAAAAAAAANAATCATGATTGTTTTGTAATTTAGAACGACAAAGAATTTTTTTTTTTTTTTTTTTAAAGAACTTTGATTTTTTTAAAAGGATGTCGAGTGTTAACAGAAAGAAAAACATATTAAGTAAATAACGACTTGATTTAAATAATTTAACTCCTCTCTATTTATCTTGTTCTTAAACTTATGTTGAATACACATATTTGAAAGCTTTACCCGTTTAAACTGATTGAATAACTATTTTCCCCAGTTCTTATAATAACTACACTATCTATTTTTTCTTCTTTTTTTTAATAACCTATCTATATAGATTTTTAATGAAGGCTTAATGAAGACAAAATTAACTTAAATGTTTAATGAAGACTTATGTACAACGATTTTATAATTAAAATTTTATGAGCTCATATATGCAGCTAACATTAAAATAGACAATATATTAAAAAGCAGAATGTTAAATAAATAATTATGACAACAGAAATAAGCATACAAGGCGCTCTTTCATCACTGCCCTTAATACATATTTTAGAATCTTTGCGAGAAATGAAGTAAACACCGTGCGCAATAAAGATCGCATATTATTAATTAAGCAAGAAAAAAATAAAAACTTTCGACAAATAACTTTTATGGTAGGTGTGATTAATAATTTTTTTTTTTAATTTCGGAGAAAAAAAACTGATGGGGATTGGAAATTCGACAATTAGGAACACCTTTAAATTTTCATTGGACAATCAAATTGGTTTTAATGCTTTGAAATTCTGCGGAATATTGATAACATCTCTCTTTATTCCTTGTTAACATACAAAATCTGTTCAATTTTTGATTTTCAAGTCTTTTTCGTTATCTTTTAACATCTAGTTGGTTTTTCTATAGTTCGGGATCCTTCAGGTTTTTTTTATGAATGTTAAGATCACAGTGTGATTATTAAAACAGTTGCTAAACTGAAATATGAAAATCAGTACTCCTCCAACTTAATGAATACCATGTAAACTCTACGACTACTAGACTCGGATAATTCGCTGAAAACCACAAACTTTTTTCTTTTAAATTTCACTTTAGGTTTCTTCTGTTTTTCTTGACATCTTAAAACGAATGCAATTTAAAATTTTCTCAAAAAAGATAAGGTTTCAACAGATTATCAACAGTTTTATCATAAGAGTGATAACAGGCACACTTTAACGCTCCATCGATTATAACTTTCCATTTCACATTAACTGAAGAGTGATAAAAAGGATTCTAACTTTCGTTTACATCGAGGAAGAAAGTTTTTGTCACATTTATGCAAATACTTGATCTTGCTTAATTCGGTTGTGGGGATTTCAAATCAGCAATTAGCTTTGCTCCTAAAGCTAAAAATTTTTTAAATTATATTTTTATTTTATTTTATTATTCTTTTTTTTATTTTTTATTTATTTATTTTTTTTCTTCTTTAAAACCGTTATATATAACAGGAGCAGCGTAAATGTTGAGACAAACTTCTATGAGAGTTTAGGCAAATCATCAGGATTAAAATTGTTTAGAAACCAATTTTCGATGATATCGTTGTATGTGGTTAGAGCTTTCCCCCCTCCCTATTATATGACCTGTTCAGAAGCAAACAAAGAAAGAGTTCATATTACGGGAGCGTCCCTAGCGGCGTACGACATTTTCAGACATACGTTATGTAATTTTAGTCCTGACGTATGATGTGCCTCAAATCTCTTAGACCTGCTGTTATATATAACGTTTTTAAACTAAAAACATTTTGACAAAAAATGTCATTCAAAAAATAATTAAAATGTAAACTATAGATCGAAGAGAGAATATAACTATAGATTACTATAGATTGCAGATTTCAAATCAGACATACAGAAGTATCTAAGATCTAGACCAGGGGTTTCCAACTTACATAAGGCCGGGGGCCGCAATTAAAAACACCAGTCAAATGGCGGGCCGCAACTTTACCAAAATTTTGTATAGGACTTTTTAATGTTTGAAGGAACATTAAATATTACTGTCTGATTTTTATCAAGTTGTACGAAACAAAAGTATTGAATTATAAATAATAATAAATATTTTTTTGGATGCAAAACCTGAGAAATAAATTTTTTTGCACCGTTGGTATGTTAAATTTCACAGTAGCGAAGAAATTAGGGGTTTTTTAACGAAAGAAAAGTATTTTAAACCCATATAGATTTTTTACGAAAATTGTCCGCAAAAAATGACAACTAATATATTTTAGTTCGTGGGCCGTATGCGTCCCGGGGGTCGCCAGATGGTAACTACTGATCTAGACAATAAGATGTTTTTATGTATTGTCCTGTAATTTCAGAAAACTTGTCAAATATCTATTAGGATATGATAACAACAAGGCACATTTTAATAAAGACGAGTGCAGCACTAAAAACAGTATTTGTAGTACTGTTTTCGGAGCTTTACGTTGCTGCAAATAACACTCTCAATTAAATTTTTTAATTTTTCAAAAGGGCGAGATAGCCGGGTAAGTAGGGCGGTTGGCCCATGTCCAAGAGAGAGTGAGTTCAATCCCCGCCGGCCGAAGAGGTAAATGTAGTAAATGGGGACTGGAGCACGTAGTAAATGGTTGGGTAGCAAAGTCCTCCATGTTCCAATGAAAAATTAGATCTATAGAGGTTAATGAGTTTGAGGTCTCTGTTTCAGGTCAAAATTACGATCTGTAGATGAATGAATAGATGTATGAATGGGCCCACCCTATAACGGGCTGTGATGATGTGTGTTACTACAGACGTATTTTGAGCACAGATGGCGCCACTGAAAAACAGGAAAGGTCAACCCTCTCCATTAAATTCGCTAGGTTTCACTAAGCAGGGTCGTTGGTATTAGCAAGTGACATTAAAAACAAAAACTTTTTTTTCATCTGAAATATGCAAATATATAAAAACTAACCTTTTTCATAACGATCTGGTCTCTGCGCTTCTCCCGTGGACAGCAAGAACACTAACAGAAGTACCAGATGCAAGAGAGGCGGCATGGAGCGACGCCCCATCGCCGCCTCTCCCTGCAAAACAAATAAACAATTTGATTAGTCTCTATTGATAAATATATCGTCATTGCAAAATAAACGATTACTAAAAAATACATAATTGAAAAACACAAAAGCTGATTTCTTTAAACAGTATTTAGTTGTTACAGTTACACATAAATTAAACTTCACATGTGACAAATCATAGGACATGTAGACATTTATATATTTCTAAGTGTAGTGTGGATCGAGATTCAGACAGAAAGTAAAAGTTTATTAATAAAAAGTAAACAAACACATACAAATTTAAAAAGAACGCCATCTGGCGGTATAAAAAGAAAAAGACTTCGTATTAATCCTTCCCTGGGAATGACAAATCTCCCCCTGCGAGAAGGATTTTACAAGTAACAATATTGTTGTCATTTCCAGGGTAGGATTGTGTAGCATTTTCAATAAGAAATATGTACACTGCGCATAAAAATTCGTTTATACAAAGATAATTAATTCCATGCAAAATATAACTTTCAGTAAATATTTATTATTTTTTGTTATTTTATTTAACAATAGTCGAAAAATCTTTCAATTTTATGGTTTACAAATGATGTACGCTTTAACGTCATTTTAAGGAATGCAATTTTAAATTCAAAAATACAAAATTTGAGCGAAATCGGTCGAATAGTTCCTGAGAAATCGAATGTTAAAAATACGACTTTTTCAAACTTCAATTTCTCAGGTTGCAGCTACCTCCTATATTTTGGAGGTCAGAAATCTGGATCGGTCGAAAAAAAGTTATGTTTATTCAGATAAAGTACGTTTTGGGGTCTGATTTAGTAACTTAAAATATCACCTACAATAATTAATTTGAATAAATAAGGTCACCCCCTCGAAACATTATGACTGAGTCCTAATAGAATGTGAAGGTCCGATCATTAGATCAATAGTTATTTAGGGTGGTCCGTTTTTTATTTTGCGCTCTATGCATATGCTATTCGCATTGAACGCTCTGAATCTCAAAACGTCATTTAGTGTCCGTTTTAACTACTTTTGTTTGTCATTTTCAGTCAAACAAGAATCTTTCAGTTGATTAATGATTTCAGGAAACGTTAATACACAATGAGACAATAATTACAGGAATAAGCTGAATCCATTTTTACTACACACAGACAAAAAAAGAAAAGTAATAATCGAAAGGAAATGAACATACACTAATGACTGACAAAATATCGTGTCTGTTTAAGTCCACTAAGCCTCAAAAAAAGGAAGGGGAAAGAAGTAGAAACAGACACACAATGATGAATTCAAAATTACTTAATTCTCATGACGTTTGCTAACCGTGAATAACCTTGAAAAAAAAAGTATTTTTAATGACTTGACACCATAAAATGTTTATGTTGCATAAAAACATCATGAAAAGGCACCGTGGCACAGTTCTGGAAAAAAAAATTAAAAAATAAACATTTCTACGCGACACAATGCTGCATGAAAGAAGGAAGAACCATGGCTTGTAACAGACTGACTGATTAGACGTTTTACATCAAGCAAAAACTACCAAAGCGTAACTAATCTACTCTGACAGTAAACGAAACAATCAAAGATAGGGTATTAAAAAGCTGACTAAGAAAAATTTTCTTTTATAACGAAAACATATTAAAGTCGTAAAACTTTATCGACTTGTTTACGGAAAAACTAGCAAACGAAATACACTAATTTAAGCATTTCGAACGAGAAAGAGAAAAAAGTATTGTTTGCACGTTTAAAGTATCGTTTGTCGTTGCTACGTTTCCTTTAGTATTAGTTTATCAATGCAAAAATCTTAATTTAATGATAGTTTTAAGAAAAATTGCAAATTAAAGTGAATAAGGGCACGAAATAATTTAAAAGCTAACTTTTGACGTTGACCGGTGTCCCATTTATATATATTTTCCAAAGTTCTAATTAAGAACAAAAATATATTTTGGTATTTTTAAATTATAAAAATAGTTTGATAGTTACTAACAAAAATATATCAGATTATAAGAATTATATTTGTTCTAAAATATAAAATTCGGAAAAAAGTAGTTAAATTTATTTATCCATTCATACTCAAAAATTTGTGAATAATTGGTTTTGTAAATGAAATAAATTTCAATGATGAATAACTTTCGCTCAGATCTAAAGAACTGAAAATTAGAACTAATTTCAAAAATTTTTGGAATTGAACCGTGTTAGGAAGATTTCACCTTCAACGCTGAAAAAGACATTGTGTTTCATGCAGTATTTTTCATAACGATAAACTATTAAAATGATAAATATAATATTTCTCATTTGTTTTGACCTAATTTAATACAAAATAATGAAAAAAGTATAAAGATATGTTTAATAAAAATTCTGCGTTAAAGGGTAAATGGAAGAAAGTTCTAAGCGAGGCATTTTATTCTGTTTTAAAACCAGCGTTGAACAGTCTACTCAGTTTTGGGTTTACGGCTATCACTGTTCAATTTCGTAGCCTTGTAGTTTTGAACCCAAAGCAGAAGACAAGGAAGCTTTGGTTCAAACTAGGCATTGTTCGCGATTCGTAACCTTCCATTTAAACAAGATTATTTTCTTTGTCAAAACTTTATTATTTACACAAATTTAATTATCAATTAGAGCAACGGTTCCCAATTATTCCTACTATTATTTATTTTATTTGCAATGAAACCCTAATTGATTAACCCTCCTTCCAACTTCATAAAGTAAAAAGACAATTGCGAACATATTTACCAATAAATGACTATTTTAAAAACACTTAATAAGAAGGATGAACTTATTTATCCTCTTATTATCATTAATAATCTTAAACCTATTTTTATGTCCGACAGTTCAATTCGAAGTTACGGAGCTGTATCTAGTTTAGTTATTAATTTTTTTTTAAGTGTAATGCATGCGTGTAGCTGAAAATGAATAAAATAAGCAAAAATATGGTTTTCTTTGAAATAAAAACCAAAACGAACTGCCGTAAACGTTGAAGATCGTAATCAGGGAAACACATTTCTTCATCAATTTATATTTTCATTCGAAAAGTGCGATGGGAAAATAATAATGAAAGTTTCGTAAATGCATGATATTTTCATAGTTTATACAATATATTGTCGTTAGAAAAATTACATTTATTTAAAAAAAAATTATCCATTTCTTTTTCAATGGCATTTTACAAAACTTTAAATAATTTCATAAAGGCAACCAAAATGTGAAATAGATAATGAATTATTGATTGGACCTACCAATAGTTACAAGTTAGTGGTTAATACATATGTTCTACAGTCTCTGGTCAAATTATTAGACGCACTATAAGATTCTATGTATAATTTAATTATCAAGTGATACTATACAGCTTTATTGTTTTTAAGCAACTGAAATCGGTTTGCACTTATTTACTTTCGTGTATCAATTTGTTAAATTAGTCGATAGATAATAAAAATTCGACTGTTGGATAAATTAGACCATATATTATACAAATATAGAATACTAGTGGGCAGCGCCCCCTGATCGCTAACGCTCGCCAACCCCCGAAAATTGCTACGCAATCTTATATGGCTCGCTACTAACTTAGGTACATTGCAAATGCACAAAATTCTAAGAATTCAAAACAATCATTCAAATCCATATAAAAACTTTTTTTTAAAAAAAAATTACATCTTTTTAGTAAATACTAAGTCATTAAAATAAATTTGAATTCAAATAAATGACATGTAATTCGTTAAACCTATTAGAAATGTGCTATAGTATAATTCGTGATATAAATCAAAAATCGTCAAATAAATTCGTGAAAAAAAGCGCTTTCGACAAAATACTAAAATAGAGATCTATCGACAAAGACTACTCACTTCTGCCTAGCTTAATAGTATGAGATTGCCGCAGCTGATGCTCTCTGGTTATTTCAGTTTCCGTTTTTAGAAAGCGCTATATGTTGAGCCACCGCAACTAGATTTGGCATGTGACATTTTTAGCGGCAATCATTGGTCGATTTTCTAACGTTGCCATTCGGGGAGTTATAATGAGGCTTTTTTTTGTCGCCGTGTAAGAGAAATAGTAACGTAAATAAAACAAAGCAAACGTTGCCACCGGCGGAAAAGAAATACAGCCAAAATTTGGGAGCCACGTAAGAGAATTATCTATATTAGATTATTATATCAGGTATTATATTAGTATATTATAATTATTAGACCAAATTATTAGACGAACTGTTTTGTTTTAATAATTGCACGTTTTGCACGAGTTTATATGCAATACTTTTAGATTTAAACATACATGTAATGGGTTTTTATTAGGAAGATTTTGTTATTTACTTCCTATTTGCATTTATTTTTAACGTACCGCATTGCAATGTTAAACAATTGATACTCGAACATAAACACGTGTAAACCAATTTCAGCCGCATGAAAACAATAAAGCTGTATAGTACCCACCTGATAATTAAGATTTTACATAGAATCTTATAGTACGTCGAATAATTTGGCTAGGGTCTGTAAATCTCGGAACCCCATGTCACGTGGAAAACAGTTAAGGAACCGCTAAACTTAAGTTTCTTTTGATTTTTTTTTTTTTTAAATTTAAGTATTGTTTATTCTCTTCATCCTTCGTTTCAGTAAATAACAAAACATTTAGGTGTTTAAAGTAGTATTTAAATGGCTCTTCGAAAACAGCAGTTTGCAATCGTAATATGTAAAGCTTCTATTTCTGAAATTAACTACAAAAATAATTTTACAGCATATCGATGGAAAAACTAAAACAATTAGCGTTAAATTACATCACAATGCAGTTTTGATAGTCCTCTGTCAATATAAAGAAAAACGCAGCTGTTTGTTATTGTTCCTTCCTGTAGATGACATAACAGTGGATGCATTGGAGAAACAGTTATATATACTTAATGATTGTCTATTTAACCTCTTTTTTATATACACTCGCTGTTATCAAATATTCTTGAACAATAAGAGCAGCTGTGTATATGAGGTGTTTTTTTACTGCTCTTCCAAAAGAACCACAGGATTGAAAACGAAATAATGCTTAAATTTTGA